CCAAGTTCAATAACAGAGTGAAAGACAAGTACGTGCTGCACGTTCGGGTGTTCGACAACGGCAGCCCGCCGTTGTACTCGGACGCGTGGGTTGTGATCAAGGTGATCGAGGAATCGCAGTATCCGCCTGTGATCACGCCCGTCGAGGTAATCGTCAACTCTTACATGGACGAGTACCCGGGCGGCATTATTGGCAAGGTCCACGCGACTGATCAGGATCAGTACGACACGCTTCTCTTCAGTCTGGTGCCATCCCTGTCGATCCCGAGCATCGATCTCTTCCAGATAGACAAGATCGACGGTACGCTGGTGGCCCAGCCTAGACTCGACGTGGGCGAGTATAGGATAAACGTGAGCGTGACGGACGGCAAGTTCCACTCGTACTCCGTCGTGAAAGTGAACGTCGATCTGGTGACCGAGAAGATGCTCGAGAGCTCGGTGATCGTGAGGTTCCGGGAGGTCAGTCCGGAGGATTTCATGCTGAGCCACCGCAAGGGCTTCGTCAGGACCGTTCGAAACGCGATGAACTGCCGGCTGAAAGACATCGTTATTATCAGCGTGCAGCCGTCGACCGACGAGGCGAACCTGATCAAGTCGCGGGCGATTCGCCAGGCGGTGCACAACGACCTCGATCTTCTCTTCGCCGTGAAGAAGGCGGCGAATCCGGCGGGTTCGTCGGGTTTCTACGCGTCGGAGAGCATACGCGAAGCGTTGAACCAGCACGTGGAGGAGCTGGAAGAGTCGACGAAGCTGGTCGTCGAGGAGATCGTCCGGTTTAAGTGCAACAAGGGTTACTGCTTCTACGGCGACTGTCAGGACAAGATCGTTCTCGATCCTACGCACATCACGCCCGTTTCCACTGACGTAATGAGCTTCGTGTCGCCGCGGCACAAACACAAGATGGAGTGCAACTGCAAGGAGGGATACGCCGGAAATCACTGCGAGGTGGTGGTCAACGAGTGCGCCAGGGAACCCTGTCCTCTGTTCAAGGTCTGCGTGCCAGACTCTTCCATTCAAGGATACTCGTGCCAGTGCCCGGAGGGATACGCCGGTCAGACCTGCGACATAGACATCTCCAAGTGTCACGACGAGTCCTGTTACATCCCGCGAAACCCCATATCCTTCAGCGGCAAGAGTTACGCGCGCTACAAGATCGACAAGGCGTTGATACGACAAACGATCGAGGACCGTCTCAGCTTGTCCCTGAGGATCAGGACGATGCAGCCTACCGGCAACCTCATGTACGCGGCCGGCAAGGTGGACTACAACATCTTGGAGATCGTCAACGGCGTGATGCAGTACAAGTTCGATCTGGGCAGCGGCGAGGGGCTGGTCAGGGTGAGCAGCGTGTACGTGAGCGACGGACAGTGGCACGAGATCCAGCTGGAGCGGGAGAGCAACAGCGCCCGGCTGACCGTGGACGGCAAGCACATCGCCCACGGCTCCGCACCCGGGATCAACGACATCCTGAACCTGCAGTCGGACGACCTGTACTTGGGCGCCGAGGTGAGGCAGCATCCGTCGATCATCGGCTTCGAGGACGTGCAACGCGGCTTCGTCGGCTGCATGGACGACGTCAGGATCGCCCGGGTGTCCGTGCCGTTGCACATGAGCGGCGCCAGCAGCGTAGCGATCCTCAAGCGATTCGCCAACGTCGAGTTCAGCTGCGACACGACGACCATCCTGGTGCCGCCGGGCGTCTGCGGCTCGCAGCCCTGCCAGAACGGCGGCACCTGCAAGGACATGGGCAGCGACAGCTACGAGTGCCAGTGCCACAGCCGGTTCGCCGGCCTGGCCTGCGAGATCGACACGGACCCGTGCGCCTCCTCGCCCTGCCTCTACGGCGGTCGTTGCAAGGTCGTGCCGGAGGGCGGCGATTACGTCTGCGAGTGCGTCGGGCCGAGCCTGAGCGGCAAGCGCTGCGAGTTCGGTAGGTACTGCAGTCCGAATCCGTGCAGCCACGGCGGTGTGTGCGAGGAGGGCAACAACGGGCCGATCTGCAAGTGCCAGGGCTTCACCGGCGACCGCTGCGAGACCGACGTCAACGAGTGCGACGCGAGCCCGTGCACGAACGGCGGCACCTGCGTCAACGAGATCGGCACGTACAGATGCATCTGCCCGCCGAACATGACCGGCCTCAACTGCGGCAACCCGGCCTTTTCCACGCCCATCATATCCAGCCACTTCAACATCCCGTGGGAGCACCTAATGTGGATCGGCATCGCGGTGCTGCTCAACGTCCTGCTCATCGTCATATTCGTCACGTTCTGGCGGATCCGGATGAAGCGGACCAGGACGCGCGCCAACAACATCAACAACGAGACGCGCAAGCAGATCGTCCTGAATTCCGCGAGGCCGCACGAGCACGAGTTCAAGCGCAGTTCGAAACTGAGCAATCTCGAAGTCATACAGGTACTACCACTGTTGATTAGACCTACGATCCTCGTCGGGTCTACTGTTTAAAAGCATGAACTTCGGGGGTCAACGTACGTTTATTCGAAGGCATTATTTCAATATCCACGAGAATAATGCCTTCAGTTCTTTGTGGGTATATCAATCGCTATTTAGCAATCGACATTAATGCTGTTTTATTTTTCGTTTGCGATCGTTCGGTTTGCCGACACGCGGCGCACTCCTTCCCGTGTCCTCGATGGCGATCCCGTCTTAAGGTCTACGTGTGATTCTTCTTTTTTGCAGAGAGAACCTCCCCAATGCCCTCCCAGACCCGCCTCCTACACCCCGAGCTCGAACAACGAGCCCGCGACGTACGGTAACTCGGCGGCGGTGGCTCTGAATAATCTGGACACCCTGCGCAGCTACGGCAGCGCGGGCGACGAGCTAGAGAACTTCCCGCCGGATTACCTGCGGAATCTGAACCGCAGCACTCCCGTACCACCCCCGTCCCTGACCCTCGCTAATCCGGTCGGCGGAAACGCAACTGGCAGCGACACGGACAGTCTACACAAGCCCACCTGGCAGGAGCAGATGCAGCTGGCCTCCTTCATAACGGACACCACCAAGATCAAGAACGGTGAGTGGTTCACGTCCGCGTCAGTGAGAGAACCACCCTCCCCCGGCTCTCCGCCCGGTAGCTTCTTACTTTTAATTTCGCTTGTGGCATGCGATCGTAAAGGGGTGGAGCGGTAGGCGCCTCCCCCGTTCTCATCATCTTCTTGACGAAACTTTTCCCTCAATTTTTCTCGCTCTCTTACTCGCGACTGTCTCCCCCCTCCCTCTCTCTCTTTTTCTCTTTCTCCGACTGTTTCCTGTTCCCTTGTGATCTCTCCGTTATTGGCGTAGCCGATTGTTCTATTAACACCGGCGTGTTTCGTGTTGTGTGCACTAACAGACCTGAAACGAGCGAGCCCAGTGGTACCAGAGCTGACCACTGGAGGACTTCTACTAAACTCTTCTCGACGGACACCTCACGCGGTTGGGTCCTCCGTCGCCTCCGTCACGTCCATCGAGGATGATCCTCGCATCGTCGGCGGTAAGTCGTGACAGCCCCGCTCGTACGGCTCGAAATACAGAGTGTCCTGCGAATCGCCTGTCGTCTCTTAATTAGAGATGCCCAACCTGTTGGATCCTGCGGGCGTGTGTGAGATAAGAAAATTTATACGCCGCAAAATTTAAAGACGTATCGGTATAAAATAAATAACCGTGAGAAACGGTAAATGACACGGTTGTCGAGTAAAATTTTGCGATTTCACCAGAAGCTGCCGTAGCCGAAGATGCGCGATTTCAGGATATTCGGTATACATCTTTGGGTCTTTGCTTCCACTTCGCTTGCACTGTCTGTCTCCAATCGAGTGCTACCACTTGCCCACGCACCATCTCTGCCTTTCACTTCTCTGCACAGCACTACGCTGGCATCGCATGTAGCGTGTCGGAGTACAGTCGTTGTTTTGCAATGCTTTTAGGGTATCACTGGGACTGCTCAGACTGGGTCAGGCCGAGTCAGAATCCCTTGCCCAATATCACGGAGGTACCCGGCAGCGAGGTCCCAGACTCGTCCAGTTTCCATAGCAATGAGAGTAATGAGTCCAATACTCACCAATTGCCAATGAGTAAGTATAGAGGTGCATGCACACTGATCTCTCACCTCTCCCTGCACCAGCATGACTAGTGTGACGTTTCATTCATTTTGTTAACACAATTGTAATATATTTTGTATAACTTTACGTCATAATGTTTTATACTCGATAGAAAACTTGTTAGATTATCACAATAGCTTTCTTTAACACACATCTCCTCTAATAAAGAATCAAGTGTCAATTCTGTTGTGTTCCTTGCTTTGGTGTATACGGTAGTTCCCCGGCCGTAGGAGAATATCAGTATACGTACATAAACGGTGGTTATCAGTTTGTACAGTTCTTTATTAACACGTTCGTTACTTAGCTTCAGAATAGAACTGGGAACACAGAATATATAATATATAAAGATAGGTGTATGACGCCGCAGCGCCTTTTGACGCACGCGCACTGGAGCGCTTATGTTTAGGTCTTATTCGCATGGCTACATAACATTTTCCTTCCTTCTCAAAGTTTGGAAACCTAATATCTTATGGATAAACATATAATAATAAACTTATAGATAATCTTATACATAATATCTTATGGATAAACATATAATAATAAACTTATAGATAATCTTATAATATCTTGTGGATAAACATATAATAATAAACTTATAGATTTAATTTCGACGGCGGTTTTACAATCCTGCCTGAGCGGGTTGTTACTGACATATCAACTTTGTCCTTCTCCGGCGATTCTATTTGTTTCCTCCTAGCCATATTAATGGGTGAGCGCATTTCTACATTGTTGTCATCCAGTCTCTTACCCACTAGTTCTTTATTTGCCGTAGAGTCTACCCTAACATTGGTAGTTGTAGTATCTATTGGACTACTTGCCTCTTTAGTCTTAATATCTATCGGTTCCGGAACCAAATATTGAGTACTTGTACTATCCATGTGAGTTACACCACTGTTTTTGTTATTTGCGTCAGTTATGCCAGTACTCAGTCCCACCTTATTTGCACGTAAGTCGTTAGCATGCACCAATTTTACTCCTTCAGCTACTTGGACTAAATAAGTACAATAACTAAGTACTCGTATGATTGTACCTCGTTGCCATATTTTGGACTGAATATTCTTAACAAATACCGATTGGTTTACAACATACAGTTGTGTGTTTCCTTTAGCCTGACACTGATTCTTGAATTGTTGTTTGCCACAGGATGGTTTAATCAGGTCAAACCTAGTTCTTGGTCGCATTTTAAAGAAACCTTGCGCAGGGGATATCCCCGATATACTGGATGGTGTGACCCTGTAAGTGAACAGCCAACTAAACAAACTAGAGAGTATCACTTCTTTACTCAATATCTTTCCCCGCTCACTTGACAAAATTTTATCCAGCCCCTTTTTTACTGTTTGTACCCCGCGCTCTACCATACCATTACTCTGCGGATGATACGGCGGTGATTTGATTGGTGTGATACCATTGGCTTGGCAAAATGAAATAAATTCTATAGAATTGAAAGGTGGACCATTGTCTGAAACTAGTTCTATTGGTAATCCAAAAACAGAGAAAATTTCTTTTAATTTTAGTATCGTCTCTGTTGCATTTGTTCGTTCGGTCATTATTTTAACCTCCACCCATTTAGATCGACTGTCAACCAAAATAAAAAAAGTATACCCGTATTTATGAAAGAAATCAATATGAACTCTGTGAAAATTAGTAGTAGCTATGGGCCATGAGACCAGAGCACTAGTGTTCGAAAAGTTCCGCCTTCGTTGACAAACTTCACATGCTGAAATGAACTTTTCAATTGCGTCATCTATCCCCGGCCACCAACAATACGCTCGCATAAGCATTTTCGTTCGAACTATTCCCCCATGCTGTTCATGAAACAAATTCAAGACTTTACTTCTTAACGCTGTTGGAATTACAACCTTCGTACCCACTAATAGACAATTACCTTCTACCGAGAGCTCATGACGTTTTTGATGATACGCTTTGAGGTTTTGGTCAGCAATCTCCTTTGGCCATCCTATCAGCGTTAGTTCGACGGCTTTGGCGAGTATTGTGTCCTTCCTAGTTGCGGTTGCAATTTCGTCTGCATCGAGCGGTATACAATTAGTTGAACTAAATGAATACAAAAACCCTGCGACTTCTGTTCCTGACGGTAACGGTAACCTAGACAGCCCGTCTGCATTTGCGACCATTTTACTCGGTTTATACTCTATTTCATAATCATATGCCGTTAGAGCTAAAGCCCAGCGAGTAATACGTGCGGCTGCCGTCACTGGAATGCCTTTATTTCGACCAAAAATAAACTGTAAAGGTTGATGATCCGTCTGTAATGTAAACTTTCGACCGTAAATATATTTATGAAATTTTTTTAATGCCACAATAAGTGCCAATGCTTCTCTTTCTAGATTTGAATAACGCTGTTCCGTCGTAGATAATGTACTCGATGTAAATAAAACAGGTCGTAAGTCGTTCCCGATTTTGTGGCTTAAGACCGCTCCCACTCCATATCCACTAGAGTCACACGTAACGTAAACAGGTAACCTCGGGTCGAAATGTATAAGTACGGAATCAGAGGTAAGCAGCTTTTTACTAGTCTGAAAAGTCTGTTCGTGTTCCTCCGTCCATTTAAAGTCTACTCCTGACTTACAAAGGTTGTATAGTGGTTTAAGTTTAGCTGATAACATGGGGATAAATTTTCCATAATAATTCAATAACCCTAAATATGATTTCAGCTGCGTAATATTTTGTGGTGATGGGGCTTTGCGAATACTTTCCACTTTATGCTCCAATGGATGGGCTCCTTTCGAGTCGATCCTGTGTCCTAGAAATTCGACGCTTTCTTTATAAAATTTACATTTAGTTTTATTAACTTTGACGTTGTACTGATATAGTCGTTCCAAGACCGCTAAGCCATTTTTGTGGCATTCTAACAACGATGACCCGTAAATTAAAATGTCATCTAGATAACACTTGACTTGTGGTATACCCGCCAGGATCATTTCCATACATGATTGAAAGATACCCGGTGCTGAGCTCACCCCATACGTAAGACGATTGTATCGAAATAGACCCATGTGTGTGTTAATGGTAAACAGTTCACGTGAATCATCGCCAATCTGTAGTTGTTGGTATGCACCTTGCAAATCTATTACGCTAAAAAATTTGCTCCCCCCCAGACACGCAAAAATATCCTCCGGCAATGGTAACACACAGTGGTCTCTATCGATTACCCTGTTCAAGGTCTTCTTAAAATCTACACATATTCGAATGTCCGAATTATTTTTCTTAGGTACCACCACAATGGGACTAGCCCACCTACTATGCGCGACTTTTGTTAGGATTCCCGATTGAACCATCCTTGTTACTTCTTCTTCTACTCTTGACTTTACCGCATATGGCATGCTGTATGCTCTATGGAATATTGGTTTGGCATTGTCTTTAAGTTTAATTTCAGCTTTGAAATGTTGAATTACTGAATTAGGTTCCTCGTCAAAAATCCGCTGAAATTTACTTTTGATTTCACCCAACAATCCTTTGACAATCTCTGATTCCTGTGTGCCTATACTGCTCAATTTACACTGCTCGACGACCATTTTAGTGTCCACGACCTGTTTCCAATGTGGATTAAGAATATTCAGCCAATTCCTACCTAGTAGTGGTGTAAATCTAGACTTACTATCTAATATCACTAACGGTAAGGCAAATACTTTCTTTTGATATCTTACAGAAACAGATATTTGACCGACAATATTGACTTGTTCGCCTGTGACTACTCGCAATTGAAAAGTAACCGGTTCTACGCGTATTTTCGGAAACCATTTCTTATAATCATTTATGTGAATGACTGACTTACATGCGCCCGAATCGACTTCCATTATAATGAATTTGTTCTCCACTGGCAATTGAATACGTAAACTTTCATTACCTTTGCAACGCCTTAACGTATTTAGGAAATACATCTCCCCCGATTCCTTCAACCAGCCTAACTCTGACGGGTTATTTACATCTGTACCTGGCTCCTCTTGACTAGCCTCTTCCGCTGCTACTTCGTTAATTTTATTCTTGCATAGCGCTGATTTTGCTGTATGTCCCTTCTGGTTGCATGAGAAACATTTCCAGTTGATGGCCGGGCACTTATTGTTATCCCAGTGAACTCTGAGGCATCTTCCGCATTTTGTCTTGCCTGGGCTGCTTGAAGGATGATCTGCTCTGCTGGCTTGTCCGGACTGACTGGATGTGGCTCTATTTTGCGATGATGACTGGCCGGCCTTCTTGCTTCGGCTGTACTTTGAGACGCTTACTTTATTGACAGACGTAGCGTCGGTGCCCATGACTTTAATTTGACCCTCTGCCATCTCCATACTTGTAGCAATTTGAAACGCTCGTTCATAGGTCAGATTATCTTCTGTTAGCAGTTTCCGTTGAATATTTTCTGCACGGATACCACATACTAGTTTGTCGCGTAAGGCCTCGTTCAAGAATGTACCAAAGGCACAATGTTTAGCCAAGTTCTTGAGTCGAGCTACATATGACTTGATGTCCTCATTAGATTCTTGCGCTGCCGAGTAAAACTTATACCGTTCCGCTATCACTAACCTTCTAGGACTGTAGTGATTTTCTAACTCCGTGCGAAGGCGTTCAAATGTCAATGTACTCGGCAGGGTAGGCGCTAACAAATCTTTAAGCACTCCGTATGCCTCACCTCCTATTAAGGTTAGCAACAGGGATACTTTTTTGTCAGCTACCACCTCATTACACGCAAACAACATCTCTATACGTTCCATATATGACGTAATATCCGTCTCTCTTGGATTAAACGCTTCAATGGACCCAATGAGCGCCATGACGAGAATACTAATTATCCAGTATTTTCCCGAGCGTAGGCTCGAAGACTCGTCGCCAATGTTGTGTTCCTTGCTTTGGTGTATACGGTAGTTCCCCGGCCGTAGGAGAATATCAGTATACGTACATAAACGGTGGTTATCAGTTTGTACAGTTCTTTATTAACACGTTCGTTACTTAGCTTCAGAATAGAACTGGGAACACAGAATATATAATATATAAAGATAGGTGTATGACGCCGCAGCGCCTTTTGACGCACGCGCACTGGAGCGCTTATGTTTAGGTCTTATTCGCATGGCTACATAACAAATTCATAGAATCAAGTAAAATATTTAATGCCGTCTTAACGTTGCAACATGACAAAGGAATAAACTTGAACGAATCAATACCATAACTAACACCACGTCAGTGTTTACGCATGGCGAGAAATATTGTCATATGTACGTTTTTCGTACCGGTTTCTCACTTCACTAACAACGTTAATTACAACAGTCAAGACTTTCTTACGACGCATAATGTGGTACCGTACGAAAGAAATGTAACGTTTGCAATTCTGTTGTAGTGCACGGTCCGATAGATCCAACGAGGGACATCGAGACCCTGAACGAAGATCAAGAATCGGAATACGTCGGCGATTCCGAGTGCGGGACCGAGTTCTCGGAGCAGTATCATTGCGCGGAGACGCAGCGTCTGAACCCCCTCGACAGCGGCGGTGAGGGGGAGTACAAGTACAAGAGCTCCGAGAGCTATCTGCGCCACCCGAACTCGTACCTGCCCCACTACAACATTCACACCGACACGGAGAACGAGACGAACCCGCTCAACGGCCGTCTCAGCACCCTCGAGTCCGACGAGGAGGAAGAAGACGACGTAGTGCCTTATGGTTTCCCGAGCACCCGCCGTAACCGGTGCCACAAGGTGATCGAGGAGGACGAGATCGGCTCCGTCATCACCACGCTGGAGGAGAGGAACTCGCTGTTGGGCGGCGCGACCAGCAACAGCGATCTCTCCACGAATCTGTGCGAGATCGACGACTCCGAGTACGAGATCGCGGATCAGAAGAGCAACGGGCGCCTGTGGCTATCAGGGAACGGCATCACGCAGACCTCAGTGTGACGAATGGCGGTGCCGAAGCACGCGAATAGACTGGATCGCGCGAGAGCGCGTTTCTCCGCGCTTCTACGACCGAGACACGCGGATCATGTCTGTGAATATGCAATTTTGTACATAGAGTGTTATATCGTCGTAGACAAGTAAGACAGTCTGTACAGGCAGCTATGAAGTAAGGAACCCTTTTGTGCGAGAGCCACCGGCGCGTCCTGGACGCACGCCGCGCGTATACGACGTATACCGTCGCGGAGATGCATCGCGCCTCAAATCTCCTCCTTGCATAGGTAGAGTTCAAGCATTAGCGTACTTAATCCTGCAAACTGAATACGCGGATAGTTATATGTCCTACAACTGCAAGCAGCGCGTACGTCGCGTCGTAATCGGAATCGATGAAAACAATTCAGAGAGCTTCCGTTTTATTTATTTTATTATCGGATGCATCATATATATTTTGTTGTAGTAATATATAGAGTCTGAAATACATAGATTGAATTTTATGGCTTGGCGGTAGAACATTTGAACATGTAACATTCGTATATTTTCTACCACCAGACCATATTTCCTCTTCTAATTGCAAGATATTGATACGCCGTGGAAATTATTTGTTTAATCAGCAAGAAAAATGCACAATTGCTTACTAGGTAACGCCACCACGCTGCACGCATTCTTGATATTTTATTTTGACAACAGTTGGAAAAATATTCCTTTTAACTCTACCAAGGAGACGAGATTTATTAGAGAGAAATAGATTGTGGCAACTACGAGTACACGTACATGCGTAAGAAATTATCTTGATTAAGGGAGGGAGAATTCATTAACTCGAGAAAAGTAAAGCTAATCACGACCGTGTCGTCAGACCAATGACTATTGTTTAATGACCTATCGTTTAAATTTAACGTGTTAATCCAACAACTATAATTCCAGTGCAAAAGATACATAGGTACATTTATGTATTTTTACTATTTGCTAACTGACTTTATTTTGGTTACGTATAAATGAACCGACGGACTACTTAATAATGCATAACGTTAAGTAAAAAAAAGTAGCGGATTATCGTGTAAGTAAATGGACTCTAGTGAAAAAGAACAGCCTCCTCCGCGTTACGGAGAGCGACATGTGCGCGACTGTGCACGTGTTTATTGCACAGGTTAAATAGTTAAAAAAAATATATGAAATATTTTTACTGTGATGATAATAATGTTTATACGATGATCAAATAACTATGACTTGTATCATAATAATTGCAATGTTAATTACCCAACGTTTTATAACAAATTTAAGAAAAGAACAACATGAAGAGCGATGGAAGGGGCGACACGTCCTCCTCCGTGTATACGTAAGCTAAGTCAACGTTCCGTTTATTTAACATTCTTTTCCTCTTATCTCTTTATTCGTCAGCCACCATCAGTACGACCGATAAATCTGCATACATGGTGCTATTTACATTCACGCTTTATCGTCTATCTACTCTTTAATAAGACTGCTCAGCGGCGCGAGGTAATTCACCACGTCGCGCCCTTTACCAATCTGCCATTCGCATCTCATGTATTCTTCATCATAGGAGACTCCATAATGTATAATGGAATACTTTTTAAAACTGCCAATTAATTCTTAATGCCATATAAGCAATGCATTTCCTTCGATTGATTTACATAACGGAGATAGAAGAAGATCGAGGAACAATCTATTACGCATCTAAGGTTTTTTTACTCATTGTCACTTCCATTTAGGATACTTTTCATTAATGGATATTGTAATTATGGCAGCTTATTTGGGTGAGGTATACACGTTCTTTTATACACGTAGAATTTTGTTGAGAAATTCGACTTTATGTTCCTGTTCTGTAAAGGATGCCAGCTATCCTGCTCGTGTTTGGTAGGATACATTAGCGAATCATATTAATAATAATGCTAAACAGGGTGATTTTTATGTTGACCAAGAGTAAAAGCATCGTCTCTCGTCCTCGTATAAGTTAAAATCGGCTGTGCTTCTACTTTCTGAAATTTTAGAGGGTCATGCGATACAATTTTTGTAATGATTTTATATTAAAATCATATGAAATGAGACAAAAGGAGAACGGTATTGATTCTGCCGGTTGCAAATTCGATAAAAATGATGAGCGATATAAAATTTCAGTCAGTAACATGAAGCACGGTAAATATTATATAACATATATTTAGATTAGTTTTATTTAAAAAAAAACGAACGATGAAGCACACATTGGTCAAAGACTGTAAAGTAGAAGATATGGATGTCACGGCGGATTTTTTATAAATAGTATATGAATCACTTAGTGATCTCACAAAAATCACGAAAATCCGTTTTTTTTTAATTTTCCAACTAATAAATTGATAATATAAAAAGTGATTATTATTAATTTCTTTTCATAGTTACGTAGTACGGAATTGAAAGCATATATGGTTTGTACATATAATTTTCAGTAAATTATTTATTGCTCCAGGCCTACTTACTCGCGAGTTATGTTCTCGAAAAATTAAGAGTGAGGAATAAATAATTTTATGCAATATTTACACACGTTATGGTAAAATAATTTTATAAAATTACTTATTGCTCCCTGTTTCAACAGTTTGAGTGTATAACGTTCGAAACCATAAACTATGAAAACAAAAACGTGGGAAACATGGGTACAATTTCTAAATTCGCCACATCTAGCCCTGCTAATAGAATACATATCGATATCATGAAATCTTTTAAGAAAATGAGGAACTTGACTTGTTATTATTGTAAGGCTATAATTAATTTGTACAAGATCAACCTATTGTAATAAAGAAACCAATCTTGCCTACAATAAGTTATACCCTTTTATCCGCAATTATCGATATTCTTATTGAATAATAAACTAGACAATTTGTTGGTTTTTTTTATACGGCACTTTGGGACATTTAATGTTCTATGATATGGAACTCGAGAACAAAATATTATCTACATGTATATATATATATATATAAAAGAGAATATCCTTTTATTTCTAAATCATAGAACAATATCGAGTTGTTCATATCGATAATCCATTTCTCTATATCTTAATATTTTTGCAATGCCAAGGTGAGTAATTCATTCATTGGTGCCAATAATATGCGCGGATCTTCAATAAGACCAGCTCCAACCATTGCACCGGCAAACAACTGGAATGGTAAAAATAATTTTTGTGACAACGAAAGATAAACATAAGAGTATTCGAATGTTTTTTATTTTTCTTATTGAAACGTACCTGTTTTATCAGACGGTCAGCTAATTCGGTATCCGTAGTCGTTACCTTGCATAACTTTTTGATGAGAGGATGATTTGGATTTATCTCGAAGCGCGGTTGAAGCATGGAGTATCGCATCTCTTCGCTCATTTGATGGCTCTGCATACGAATAAAGTGCCTCGCACTCGCCATATCCTGAACGGTTACAACGCAAGGATGCGATTCTAAACGATTCGTCATTTTAACGTCGTACGCCTTTTTGTCCAGAATCTTCTTCATGTAGTTCACAAGATTATCCAGTTCATCCTTATTTATGATACCTATACAAAAAAAAATGGGATACAAGAGTATTCAGCAAAGGCACTGCAAGAATTACTGTAGGTTACAAATATGTAAGATGTTTATTGCGTACCTAAATTTTCTGGCTTGTTCGCTTCCGTATCATCCCGCATTTCCTTCTCCACAGACGTCAAAAAGTTCGATTTATACTGTTTCAAGTGCATCAATACTAATTCATCGTATGGTTCATAGCAGAAGAGCACTTCAATATTTCGTTTTTTCAAAGATTCATAATACGGCGACTGCTCGGCTAGAGTTCGGCTGTAACGTAAATCACAACTCTTGCAGATCGTCGGTTAACGTTAACGCGAGTTCTTCAAATTATATTTTACTGTACCTAGGTGCCGACAAATAATATATATCCTTTTGATCTTTTGCTAAACGGCTGCAGTATTGCGGCACGCTGACCAATTCCCCTGGAGCGGCAGCTGAAGATTCAAATCGCAGAAGCTTGCCAATATCTTCCTACAAAATAATTAATGGATCAATATATTTTATGGACACTTATATGGAATGTAATCAATTACCTTTTCCGACTGATCCGAACTAGTTATAATGCCCTCTTTTAAAAATAAACCGTAAGCTTTGTAAAATTCATTGTAGTCTTCCGGCTGCTTCGTAGATCGCTCGTGTAGGAATTTTAGTATACGCGCAGTCAACACGTTTCGTAATTTTCTATCAAAATATGATACGAATTATACATTTCAATAATTTTGTACAATTGTAAACAATACAAATGCCAAATATCAATACTTACCCAATCAATGTACTATTTTGTAGTAGTTCGCGGCTCAAATTCAGTGGTATATCTTCCGAGTCGACCACGCCTTTAATGAAACGCAACCATTTCGGTAAGATATTCTCCGCTTTGCTTTTAATTAGAATCTTCCGGTTGTAGAGCGACACTCCACTAGTAGTGTCCCTTGCCAGATCGAACAACCCGGGCTTTTCCTCTGGGAAATATAATAGAGCCTTGATACTCAACGGCACATCCGTCGAATAATGTAGTACAAATCGTGGCGAATCAATACAATTTCCTACGAATCGATAAAATTCCGCGTGTTGCAGCGGCGTGACATCTTTCGGGTCAAACATCCACAACGGCTGTGAAAGAGAAACATCTTCTTTAATTACAGTAAATCAGAAATATGCAGAAGGTAAGATTTGTGAGAGATATAATTGATGTGATACCTGGATTGTATTGGTTCTCTTTCCATTCACAAAAATGGGACTGCCAACGAAGTTACTGTACTTGTTAATAACACCTGAATGAGTTAATTATAGTTTTAATAAATATATATATTGAAACGATACGAATGTGTGTGCATATTCTTATCACGACTATTTACTTACGATTAATAGTATCTTCGTCACTGAACTCTCGGCTATCCGGTTTCAAATGTATAACGATTTTCGTGCCTGGCTGCACACCATCCGCGTTTGAAATCTCAAATGTGCCTGATCTACACGTGAAAATATTGTTTACAGTGTTGCATACTCTGATAGTATACCCACACAGCACAGAAAGATTGCAGAAATGTTACATTGCAAGATTGCAATATTGCAGCAACGTTGAAATGTCCGCCCTCAGAGAGATTGCAGTGCAACATTATAGCAATGTTGCAGTGCAATATTTTTGGAATAATTTGTTGTTGTTGTACATAAGCAGAGAATTTACTAATTACATATGCATCCGGGCCTTTTTCAATACACAGCAAGCTATTGCGAAGCAACCTAAGGAGATTGTCGCTTCGCAATAGATGGAGATTGCGAGCAACACCGCACTGATCAAGTACTTAATAATTCGCGCATTACTGGTATCAACGAAAATAACATTATAAAATTCTCGTAATTAGAAAAATTTTTTTAATAGAAAATATAGTATTTTCATTATTTTTGAAACATTGCTGCAATATTGCTATCGAAAGTTTGCAATTTTATATCCCTGCAATGTCTGCAAGATTGCACTGCAATCTGCAATGTAACTGCAACCATCTGTGCTGTATGGGTAATAGCATTAATTATGTGGAGAACCATAAGTACTCTTCTCGATACTTACCCGTCTGAAGTCCAGCACAGACCTTCCGCGTCTACCGCAAACGACTTTGTGAACACTTCTACCTTATCAGCGACCATGAAGGCACTATAAAATCCAACTCCAAACTGTCCGATAATTTTGGAAGTGTCACTGGAACTTTGTTCCTTCAATTTTTCTAGAAATGCCTAAAAATATGCACGTATAGAAATATTATACAAACAGACTTTCCTCTATTTCATGAAATAAGAAAAATACCTGAGCTCGATGGTACTTGCCTTGGAGCCAGATCGAGCTATAGTTCCCAAATTGGATATCAGTTCCTCTCTAGTCATTCCCACGCCGGTATCTTGGATTGTCAGAGTACGACTTTGTTTGTCAGTGCCGATGTGTATCTCCAGACTTCTGTCGCCAGCCGCTTGTGCGACTCCATTGTCGCCTAGACGTAGGTAGCGCAATTTCTCCAGTGCGTCGCTGGCGTTTGAAACAAGCTCGCGTACAAATACCTAGCGGATAAATAAACCGATGTGACCACTGTTTAAACAATTGTTTCCAAGAGGAGAGGAAATTTATATTCAATTACCTCCTTGTCTGAATATAAAGACTTTGCAACGATTTGCAGTAACATTTGCGTCTCCGACTGAAACTCATGCTTGGCACTCTCGCCTGCAGACGAAACATTCCATCTACTATTATACTTTTCCAGACAATAATATTCGATATAATCGTTTTAATTACAACTGAATATATTACCTGTTGCTTTCTCTGTGTCTTTTATAATATTATGGTACTCGGTAGCTTGAACTTCTGGTTGAGATGACCAATGTCGTACATGATTGTAGATGACTGTAAGATTGAAAATATTTAGACATTCATTGGCATTGAATGGAAGACACTTCGGAAAATGTATTGCATGAGAAAGCAGATTCACAGAAAAATTATAAAACAAAAAGTGCAACAGTGTGCAATGTACAAAAGTGAAATGTTTGGTCGCGAAAAATCAGATAACAGGCCTGACAAACCTGGTAGTCGTTGGCATTGTGACTGTACTAACTTCTCTTGCAAATTCCTGTTTAACGATCTCGAGAGAGATCTTCCTAATCTAATAGCGTGCTTGATCCTGAAGGCAGCAGCCATTTTCGGATATATACACGTGCACTAGTATACACGAACACGTCTCGCACAAGTTACCCGTGAAGTTGCATCACAGCGACACAGGGTCTGTTCTTTATTGCTGCACCCCTGAACTAGTGCACACTGGTGCAATGAGTTGGAATGAAAGATAATCTATTTGTTTCATTTTAACTTATTGCACTATAATAGTTCAGTAGTGCAGTAATAAAGAATAGGCCTACATTCAGAGTGTGCGCAATGTATCCAATCCAAGCAGTGCACTAGTTGCTCTTTTTGTAATTTTACTCTGCACTTAAAAAGAAATAAAGTGTCAGAGGCCGGTATTCGGTGATGGTGGACAGAGAGAAGCCTGAGAGATGTCACGGCCCCGTTTTTCGTGATACGCGAATGCGATACGCCCTCTGTGGACATTGAAAACGTGGACATTGAACTACGTAGCCAATTTGCACATTTTGCTAAGGTGGGTAACGCAGATTTGCGAAATTTTGGTTGCGTTTCGTGCTATAATCAGGTCCTGTGCGATGCTCTTGTACTTAAGATTATTTTAAGTACAAGATCATTGCATGGGATCTAACCATAGCGCGGGACGGGGCTAAAATTGTGCAAATCTGCGTTACCCACTTAGCAAAATGTGCA